AATTACTTGACTCCGAGCAGCTTTTAATCAATCTTGTAATTCATACACCGGTTGATTATTATAACACGGTAAAATGAGGGTGAGATGTAGACTGAATTAGTTGAATTAAGCAGTCAGTGAAAACACTAAGATATATGCGCTATTATTAAAATTGCTATGGGAAGTTGGAAGTTTACTTCAACTGCAGAAGGTTGGTCTTCCTGGTCTTGCTAAATCTATTTCCTTGCATGAGTAAGGTATGATTTTTTTTTTCCATCTCCTGGATAAATGAAAATGGTCTATCACCATTGGAGTCATCAGAAAGGGCAGTAATGAAAGTGTTCTCTTAATTTTCCAATTAGCACCCTGCCCTTTTAATATCTTCAACTGCGGAGATGAATTAGTGCTATCGTATTTCTTGGCTGTTGCTTCTCCCCTCTTCCTCAGAAACACAGACTGAAATCCTGCTCCATTCCTGGCATGGAGACTTCTCTAAGCTGGAGAGTTTTAAAAGGTTTTTAATCAACATATTCACGGAGACCTTTGCAGAAGGAATTTTAAAAGGTCAAAGAAGAGTGTTAGATAGTCAAGATTAAAGCCCAACAGCTTTTTTTTTTCATACATGATACACCTTCGTAAAAGGAGGGGGCTTCAGTTGCAGAGCGGTGGCTACCATCTTGACATTTTTAACTCCTCCCCCCACCCCACCCCAAAAAAACCCCAGGATGAAAATTGTGCAGGGTCTTTTGTAAGCATCTCACAAAACAGCTAGTTTAAAGAAAGAACAAAACTTTCTTCTTCTTCTTTTTTCTGCCTGACAGCGTTGTGTACCTTCTCCAGGTGCTGACAACGTGGAATACCAGTTTGCGGTGAATAACGACACCACGGAGTTTTCGGTGAAAGACCTGGAGCCCAACACCAACTATATCTTCTACGTGGTGGCCTATTCCCAGCTTGGAGCGAGCCGGACCTCCCCATCCATAAACGTGCAAACCTTGGAAGAAGGTTCGTAGAGTAGGAACTAGGGAGGTCTACTTTGGGGTCCAACTGAAACTGGAGGTATAAATAATCCAGGGTTTGGCTGGTCACAAAGTGGTGGGATCCCACAAGATGCCCAACTATGATGAAATGGGACTGGGTAATTTGTGGTTTAGCATATTGAGTGAATTATTTATTTATTAGACTTATTTCTTACCCATCTCAGCCAGAGGAGACTCTGGGCACCTCAGAAACATTAAAAACCAATGTCCTAAAGTTTCTTTTTCCAAAAGTCAACTGGACTTCCTTGTTTTTGTTTTTGTTTTAAACGTTTCGCTTCTCATCCAAAAAGCGCCTTCACTCTGTTCCGGTGTATTCTATGGCAAAAAAAGCACTGTATCTTCTTGAGCAGAACCGCTGTAACTCTGATTGTCCTTTTGAGATGGCATGATCTCTTTTGTTGCTTACTTCCAGTTCCTGGTGGAGCCCCTCAGCTTTCTCTTTCCAGTACAACTCTAACTGACATCAAGGTGACATGGCTGCCTCTCCCTTCAGAACTGACCAACGGAAAGATCATTAAGTACAAAATTGAGTATGCTGCTCTCAAGGAAGGTGAGCAAGAGAAGATCTGAGGGCCCTATAATGTGGAATGGTTGGTTATTAACCCTCTAGAACAGGAGTCTCCAAACTTGGCAAATTTAAGATTTGTGGAGTTCACCTCCCAGAATTCCTCAGCCAGCTATGCTGTCTGGGGAATTCTGGGCGTTGAAGCCCACAAGTCTTAAAGTAGAAGATTGTTTCTCAAAGTGTGGTCCAGGAACCCCTGGTATTCCTCTAAATGCCCCAAGACCCCCCCTCAGGGGCCTGTGAAATCAAAATTATTTACTATCCTATATCACAGTATAATCCAATGTTTTTAATACGATAAATATTGATCAGTGTAACCCATACAAACAAAAATATGGAATCCCACCTAATTTTTAAAAGTAGAAAAGAAAAAAGCTTTAAAAAATGCTGCTCTGGAACAATTCCTTCTTCCTCGTGTCCACAAACTAAAAAGTCAATATGGTCAACAACAAAAAAAGTCAGTGGGGCAATCGCAACGGTGTGAGCAAAGTCTGACAATTTCATATGTATCACCATCATAGCTGCCAATCTTCACCTTAACCCACAAAGGCTAGGTTAGGGTGATTGGTGGTTTATGACTGAGGGGATTCCAGAGTGCTGGGATGTCAAAAATTTAGGTGTGCTTCACTTGAAGCTTTTTTATATCTGGGGTTGTATTTTAGGGATGAATCTGTCCGTTGCCTTAAGATGCAGGGAGGATTAGACAGATGAAGTTACATAAATAACGCCTGGGCTCTTTTTTTCCCCCCGTTAACAGACCTGATTTCTTCAACCGAGCTCAGTGGGAATGAAACACAGCTAGTGCTTTATGGATTACAGCCCAATAAAGTCTACAAAGTTCGGATTGCAGCAAGCACCAGTGTGGGCTATGGGGCTCCATCGGAATGGACGCCGCATCGCACTCCAAATCGGGACAACCAAACGCATGGTGGGTGACCTCTTCTTCAACCTTCAGACCCTTCCAATTTTGATCCAGCTGGGTAGCTGGTCAGCGTTTCATAGCTTTGCTCTCCTTCTTCCTAGTTCCCTTTGCCCCAACTGAGTTAATGGTCCAAGCCAAAATGGACTCGCTGTTGATAACTTGGCAGCCTCCACCCAACCATGGCCAAATTTCAGGCTACAAGCTGTATTACCGAGAAATACCCACTGAGGCGTCACCCATGGAGATCCCTTCAGAAGGCCCAGGGAACCGTCTTTGGAATGTCGGACCCATAAAACTGAAGAAGAAAGTGAAGCAACACGAACTGAGACAATTAGGTAAGCTTTCTGGAAGAGCCCACTACTCGGGGACTTGGGTGGATGGAGCTTTCACTGAAAATGGATCAAAATGAAATGCTGATTCTCGGATTGATCTGTTTAGGTCTGTTTATGGGGAGAAGAGATCTATGCTATGTAATTGAGGAAAGTGGTTTTTTCTTCCTTGGAAAACATTTTGCTCCTCATCTGAGAAGCTTCTTCAGTTCTAACTGAATATAAATCCTTCCATTCCCCACCAGCTTCTTGGAGAGAAGCAAAATGTTTTCAAAAAACGCCCCCAGGAAAATCCAGTTGCCTTTTGGAACCCCCTGCTCAAGCAGGAGACCCTATACCATTTCAGGCAAGTGGCTGTGCAGTCTCTTAAAAAACTCCAGTGTTGGAGCACCCACAACATCTGGAGGCAAGCCATTCCACTAGTTAATTGTTCTCACTGTTGGGAAGTTTCTCCTTAATTCCAGGTTGTTTCTCTCCTTGATTGATTAGTTCTAGGTTGCTCTTCTCCTTGGTTAGTTTCCATCCATTGTTTCTTGTTTTGCCTTTTGGTGCTTGGAAAATAAGTTGAACCCCTCCTCTTTGTGGCAACCTCTCCAATACTGGAGTCCTTCTTTTCTCTAGACTGGCCATACCCAATTCTTGCAACCGGTCTTCATATGTTTTAGCCTCCAGGCCTTTAATCATCCTAGTTGCTCTTCTCTACACTTAAAAAAAAAAAGTGCCTTAGGGACATAAGGGGCAGAGCACACATTTTATCCCTTGCATGAGAGGAAAACTGAGGATTTACCTTTTTAATGAACCCTCTGGACAATTCTGGATCTTTCTCCC